GAATTTTGCTGGTAGAAACTGTTCATATTTGGTTTTTAAATAAAGTTTGCATGTTCACTATTTTCATCTGAAATTATTTCCCTTCATCCTAGAATTTTCTCCAAAGTGGTATCTATTAACATCTCAGCAAGATTAACTATTAAAAATGTCATGAACTAGGCCTGAGAATCTAACCCAAGCAAGCAACCTACCAATCAGCCAAACATAAAAACTCAATTAGGCAATTTCTTGGTGTTGAGTAGTGTTGTTTTATAATGGCTGAAATCTTTACACATGACAATTAATCACTGCACAAAATAATGTAACTTATATTTACATTTACTAAGCACATACAAATTAACTATCTCATTTAATCTTCACAATTCTGAGATAATTACTAGCATCTTTTTCCAAATGAAGAAAGTGAGATTCAGAGATTCTGTGACATGCCCAAGATCATGAGGCAGAGCTCAATTAAAAAAAAAAAATCAACGTTTTCTAACCGCAATCCAGCTTTTCTACTGAGAGGACCGTAATAGAGTATACCATAGACTTAGGTTAGGAGCATGCTATAACCCAATAAATATGTAATTGGCTTGTGAACAATAGCACAGCCATTTTAAGTTTTCTGTCTTAAAACATAACCTGTAACTGTTTAAAGTTTCAGTTATGGGAAAAAACTGCAAAGCTTTGGTTACAAGCTTCAACCCCTTCCCTTATCTCACTTTCCCCTTAGCAACATCCAATCAGGTGCCAGGGAGTAATCACCTAAGTTTCCAGATGTCTCTGCAACTTCCCTAGCTAGTGGACCAAGGTCAGCCCGAGTCAGGCTAGCCAATCCTCCACGATTAAGCTGACCACCAGAGGTTACTACCCAATTAAATGGTAACACAACTGTGTTAAGCCCCCCCAAACTCCTCCTCCCTTTGTGTAAAAGCATAAAAGGCATCTGCTTAAGGAAATCAGGGCCTCTGAATGTACTCTGCTGTGTCGGTTGTTGACAGAGGCCCAGGCTTGAGCTTGTAAATAAAGACCCTCTTGAACTTTCATCGGAATTGGCTCTTGGTGGTCTCTTGGATTGAACTTTCGGCCACTACACTACCTTAGTGTAATATGAAGATTGAGGCAGAAGACTATAAACTGGGATGCAGGAAAAAAAAAATTAAGCCATACCTCCAACACTCTTGATTTTGCTTTTTTTTTTTTTTTTGAGTTGGAGTCTCACTCTGTCGCCCAGACTGGAGTGCAGTGGCTGCTCCCAGCCACTACAGTCTCACCTGCTGGGATCTGGCAATCCTTCTGCTTCGCCTTCCAAGTAGCTGGAACTACAGGCGCGCGCTACCACGCCCGGCTAATTTTTTGATTTATTGTAGAGATGAGGTCTCGCCAAGTTGCCCAGGCAGGTCTTGCGAGCTCAGGCAATCCACTCACCTCAGTCTCCCAAGGCACAGGATTACACGCTGAGCCACCAAGCCCGGGTGATTTTGCATTTTTAAACTACTTGGTAAGGTATGCATCTTAAATGTTTTTTGTAACATGGGTCAGAAAGTGTGTTTGCTCAATTGAGTTCCTGTTTTATGACACAACAGGCAAGTAGAATTTTGCATTATAATCGAATTTAATCTATCTCACCATTTTCCAAAAAGATTTAAGGTTTTTTGTTTTTTTTTAAACCAGAAAAGTGCAAACTCTTTCATATCCACCTCAGTGCTCCATTTCAAATTGTACTGTAAATGAAATTACAGACGATGCTAACTCTGAGGATGAACATCAGGATCAAGCAAACTGTGAAAGAGGCAAAGGTCAGAAAGTAATCCCTGGTGAAGCTAACAATATGGATACATTTGTTTTATGGGTAATAATCTGTATATTCCATGTAAGATTGGCTACTGTTTTAGAGATATTCAGGAGACAATAAACTGAAAAGTATAATTCAAGAAATAGATTAAAATGATAAAGCTTTTATGAAAGAACAAGTTGAGTATCTCTAATCCAAAACGCTCTAAAATCCAAAACTTTTTGAACTCTGACATGATTCTCAAAGGAAACACTCCGTGGAACATTTCAGATTCATATATTAGGGATGCTCAACTGGTAAGTATAATGAAAATATTCCAAAATGTGAAGAAATACAAAACACTTCTGGTCTCAAGCATTTCAGAGACGGGCTACTCAACCTGTATCACAAAGAGATGAAATCAAAATATTAAAATTCAGAAAAAGTAGATTAGGTAAAGGGAAATTTACCAGTAAGTACCTATTTTGCTCACAGGAAAAAGATACTGTACTGGAGAATGGAGCTGTACTTCCTAAAAAGGTGGTATGTGTGGACTTTAAAAATGGTATACTGTGAGATGGGTTTCATGACTCAATCTCCTCACAGCTTATTCACATCTGACTAAGTGACTCCAGATTCTAGGCCCTAAGGGAAAAGGAAATGATCCTGCTTGCTGGGTAAACCTAGCGGGATTCACAAAAAAGGTCTTCTTGAATAACTCCTCCTAATGCTCCAAAATAATCAACAGTCTACATATACTTAGAAACACCATATTGTATAGTCAACCACAAGTGATTTAGAAAATAAACTCGCTTTTCCATGCCTATACTACTCTCTGAACTTGCCCACTGAAATTTCTTTTCAATTGGAAGATTTCTATTTAGTGGATTTCCCTAAATTATATTTTTGTTAACAATTCAAGGTTCATTTTAATCCTTATCACTTCACTAAAATTGCAACTTCAAATCTGAGTTTTCAATTTAAAGTGAGTGAAGATATAAATGCCACAAATAAGAAATACCATATAAATGTCATTAAGCTTAATCAATGTAACATGTCATGATTCACCTGCAATTCTATTTCGCAGCATCAGAACACAGAGAACATTACATAGAAATCAGATTGCTTAAGTCAATTTTAATTAAAAAAAGAAATGTACATGGTAGACTACCAAGTTAAGACAGTAAATCTATTTCATGTGGAATGGAACATAAAATATTTTTAAGGTTTTCTAGGCCAGGCGCAGTGGCTCAAGCCTGTAATCCCAGCATTTTGGAAGGCTGAGGCGAGAGGATTGCCTAAGCTCAGGGTTAAGATCAGCCTGGGCAATCTGGTAAGACCTTGTCTCTACAATAAATAAAAAAATAAGCCAGGTGTGGCAGTGCACGCCTGTAGTTTTAGCTACTTGGAAGGGTGAGGCGGAAGGATTGTACTTGACAGCACTGGGTCTAGGCTGTGGTGACCGTGAGCGTGCCGCTGCACTTCAACAGCCTGGGCAACAGAGTGAGACTCCAACTCAAAAAAAAAAAAAAAAAAAAAAGAAGAAGATTTCCTGGCCGGGCATGGTGGCTCATGCCTGTAATCCTAGCACTTCGGGAGGTAGAGGCGAGAGGATTGTCTGAGCACAGGGTTCAAGACCAGTCTGGGCAACTTGGCAAGACCTTATCTCTACAATAAATAAAAAAATTAGCTGGGCATGGTGGTGGGCACCTGTAGTTCCAGCTACTTGGAAGGCTGAGGTGGAAGGATCGCCTGTGCCCAGCAGGTTGAGGCTGCGGTGGCCATGAGTGCCACTGCACTCCAGCCTGGGTGACAAAGTGAGATTCTGACTCAAAAAAATAAAAAAAAGAAGCTTTCCTTTTAAGGCTTAACACCTATAATTTATTATGTTTTAAAAACGTTTTTAATCACATAGAAAAAGTATATGGAGAACACAAATTCACTTTTGAAAGAAGTATCAGAAAACAATTTAAAATTTAAAATTCTGTGTATGTTGTGTGTTTGGTACTGTTTTAAGAGCTTTACATGCATTGACTCATTATTAGTTCTCATAACACCATGAACTAGATATTATCAACATTCTCATTTTACAGACAAGATAACTGAGGCTCAGAAAGACTAAGTAACTTTTCCAAGGCTAAGAAAGTGGTGGCCAGTATTTGAGTTCAGGAAAACTAGCTCCAGAAACTATGTTCTTAAGCATTCCAGGTTTTCTCATGCCTCTACGTCTTTGGTTATGCTGTTTCCTCTGACTGGAAGGCTCTTCTTAATCTTATCCATATGGTTAACTCTTATTTGTCCTTCAAGACTGGTTCAATCCTCACACTTTTTAGAAGCGTTTCCTGCCGGGCTTGTAATCCCAGCACTTTGGGAGGTGGAGGCGAGAGGATTGCCTAAGCCTAGGGGTTCGAGACCAGCCTGGGCAACTTGGTGAGACCTTGCCTCTACAATAAACCAAAAAATTAGCCAGGAGTGGAGGTGCATGCCTGTAGTTCCAGCCACTTGGAAGGTGGAAGTGGAAGGATCACTGAGCCCAGCAGATCAAGGCTGTGGTGGCTGTGAGCAGCACAGAGTGGGACTCTGACTCAAAAAAGAAAAAAAAAAAGTGTTTCCTGATGCCACCACCCCTTCCAGCTGAGTGAGAGGCCCCTTGTTATTATACTTCCGGAATACTTGCCCATAACTTTATTAAAGCTTGTATGCTGAAAACAGTTTGTTTGCAATGATTGTTTTGGCTATTTATGCACCTCAAGAGTAGCAGAGTGCCTGGCACATAATAGGACTCTAATTAATTAACCAAAATATGAGTACTGATTAAAAGTAAATACAAGAAAAGGCATCATTCAAATATTATCACTGTTCAACACCAGGGAGGAACTCCACCATCTATATATTAATAAATAGGAAACTAAAGGTCTCAACAATACATAAGAAATATTTACCTTTGAAAGTAGACATAAATGTTCAGGGTCCACTTATGAGTGAGTATATGTAGTACTCAGATCTTTATTTCTGTGATAGATCACTGAACATTTATCATAATACTACAAGAAAGGGATTGGCAGCAGTGGGACACTGCTGGAGGGTAGGGCACATAACATCAATAAGGGTACCCCAACTTTACCTGTATGATGGCTACTTATGTACCTAACCCTGAATTGTACCCCACATCTTTAAAATAAAAAAAAAAAAAAGTAGACATATATATGTTAGAGTAGAAACTATATTGTTAAAAAAAGGATACAAGTTTTGATACAATGGAATCAGCGACTTCAGAGCACGGCTTGCATTTATAGCTGTTGCTCTCACCATAATGGGTAGAACCTTTCCATTCACAATAGCACCATCAAAAAGTGGACCAAAGAAGGGAACCTGATTGAGAAATTAGAATATAATTTTATAATCAAATCATAGAAATGATTGTAAGAGCAATCAAGACACTTTGCATACAAAAATACTTCTGCTTCCTCTAGTTCTTCCTTCAGTAAAAATACGATTTGAATTAAATTCTTTTCCATGATGGGTCAGTCATACTAGGACAATAAACAAACAAAAATTGCCAAAGGTTTACAAGGTGTCCATTCAAAAGAACTATGTGCTTCATGTAACTGACTAATTTATACACTCAATTTTCAAATTTTAGTAGTTTCAATTGTATACAAAAATCCAACACTGGAAGTAAATTTATTTTTTTCTATTGAACAAACACAGGAAATATATCTATTCTTATAGGCAGAAGTCTGGTTTTCATTATTTTTGTGTAATACCAGCTTTATGACAGAATGTAAAACCCTTTTTACATGGTTTATTAGAATACAATTAAATGTCATTGTCTTGAAAATTAATATCATTTTTGTGAAGTGACTGACAGTTTGAATATGGCTAGCACAAATGGCAGCTGAAGGCAAGGACTGTGGATAACATGGTAAATATTTTAGATTATATGGTAACATATTGTCTCTGTTGTCATTAAAAAAAAATCTTTAAAAATGCAAAAAAAAAGAAAAAAACCAAAAAACATTTTTAGCTTGTGGGCCGTATAAAACCAGGCTATGGGCCATAGTTTGCTGACTTCTGGTTTAGATGAACCCCAAAGAAACTTGGCCATCACTAAAATTCACACATGGGAAACTTAATTCAATGTAAGAAATTCTAAAGATTCATGATCAATTGTCAAAAAGGAGGTTTTCTGTAAACTATAAGAATTCAGTTTAAAAAAATGGAAAGACACATCAAAATACTACCAAACTTTCATTTATCCTGAAAGAAAATACTTCTAGCCTGGGCTCGGTGGCTCAGTCTGTAATTCCAGCACTTTGGGAGGCCGAGGCGAGTGGACTGCCTGAGCCCGCGGGTTCGAGACCCGCCTGGGCAACTTGGCAAGATCGCATCTCTACAATAAAGCAAAAACTAGCCAGGCGTGGTAGCACGTGCCTGTAGTTCCAGTTACTTGGAAGGCTGAGGCTGAAGGATCGCTGAAGCCCAGCAGGTCGAGGCTGCGGTGGCAGGGAGCTTGCCACTGCACTCCAGCCTGGGCGACAGAGAGAGACTCCAACTCAAAAAAAAAAAAAAAAAAAAAAAGACAAAAGAAAATACTTCTGCAACAGTGTGTTTCAATTCTACATTATATATAAAACATCCCAACTATAGGACAGGTAACAGAATCATTTGACTTTTATTTTTTTAATCTGTAGAATTCTTTTATTAAGTGACATGGCTAAATGATCACATAATCTTAATAAGATGTATCAACCAAAAATACAGAAACCATATATTCCTATTCTAAAGGGAATGATAATTTCTGTGTTTTTAAGAAAACTGTATTCATTCTCTTAGTAACAAGTACTATCTAGTCCTATCTTCCATTTGAACATGGTTTCTTGCTACTTATCCTGTTGTAATTCCTTCTGAACTAGGCTCAGACAATCCACATAGCTACTAGAGACTACTGCAATTCTCCCATTTTTACAACTTGATGTCTAATTTACTTTTTCTTCTGTAAGGTAGAAAGAAACTCAAACCCCTAGTGAACTCAAAATCTATTATTAAAATGGAAAATAAGGAGCTCTTACCTCTGGTTTTTTCATTATCTGGATACTGAACATGTGATTTTTCATTGGATATATTACAATAAGGACATCACCAAATTCTGTAGGAATAATTCCTCTCCTGTAGTCTCTAGTATGCTCTGACCAAACAATGTGCACTTCATCATTTCCTAAATGTCTCAACTGGAAAACCAAAAAAAATTTACCATATTTTATAAAAGTTCTGTGAGTACAGTCATACAGCTAGTGACAACATATCATAAAAAGAAGAAAAAGTAAAGAAATTAAAAAATTGTTTTCATCTGCTCATTTTTACATATGAAACACATATACTCAAAAACATTAGGAGACACTGCAGAAGATCAGATAGTTTCACCATCCATAATCAGTGGGAGAGAACTGAGATAAAAAAGATTCATATATAGTCCCAATACTCTCCTTAATAGCAACTGTGCCGATTCTTTAGTACCAAACCTTTAAAAAGACTATTTAAGAGTGTTTGTTTAAGAGCGATTGATTTGAGATCCTTCTCTTTTCTGACCAGTCTCTGGAAGGCTACTGAGAAGAGAAGTGGCCTGAAGAAGGCAATAGGAAAAGTAAAAGAAACAGGTCATTCATAAATTGGATAGTTTCCCACTAAGAGAAAGTTGACTATGTACGGACTAACAAATTTATTTCTAGGTTTCCTTTGCCCGTGAAACTTAGAGATTCTTCCAAATAAATGTCTTGAGATTTGTTATACTCTCAAGATACTATTTAAATGTTTATGGTGCTTACAAAGGTGTTTCTGGTAATCAGAGAGTTAATGTTAAAATAACTAAAACTGTAAAAAAGCAAAACATTCAAAAGTTGAATTCCTAATAAGTAATTAGCAAAATAAACTTAATGCCCATTCATCCTGAGTTTTCTTCATAGAGATTATTATATAATAATGAATTTTTTTATTCAAGTTTATTATCCTAGTACATTTATTGATTCTGCCACTGCAAACATTTGAGTCCACTTTTGGTGCATCTCTTACATGGGTTTTTCCATTACTTTCAGATAACTGGACGCATTGCAGGTGTGTAAGTTTAGAAGAGAAAACAAGGAATGAGTGTCATCAACATTTACACTATAAGCTAATATACAGGCAATTTCTATTTTTGAAATATGTAATTTATTTTCATTTGAAGATCATAGGATAGGAAAATAAGATGTAATGTATGATTTAAACAAAGAAAGGAGTTCAGTACAATTAGAAAGGTGCTTTTCTGTCACTCTCAAGCCTGAAGTAACTCCTTATACACACACATAGCTTGAATGATATAAATGTGGTACTTGAGCTTTGTGACATTTTTAAAAAACAAAAAAGATTACACAACTCAGAAGAGTCATGGCTCCATAATTTCATTTTTTAATCAAAATACTTTAAAAATATCCTTCCTATACAGCCATCCCCATGTGTCAGCTTCCCTAATAGGTTTATGTTAACTGAATACAAAAGAAATGTGAAATAAATTTAACCAGGAGGGATGATCCAATCTAATTGTGATACATTAATGTCATATGCTGTACATGTTACAATAGCAGCCAGATCTAATACTAAGCTCCAGGCTATACTGAGATTTCCAAATGGCAGATTGTTCTAAGTGATATCAAGTATAATTGAAGTAATAAACGATAGTAAAAGCTGAGCACACTGTCAGGAAGAATTTAAGTATTTACTTTTTAAAATTAAATGAGTTAGGTTAGGAAAGACAAGACAACTGAAATAATGCAGGTCTCAATTTACAGAAAATTCCTTTTATTTATCTGCTACATTAACCCTTGAACTCTTGCCAAAACTATCTATAATTTCTAGTGCCCACTTATCTAAAGAAACAAGAGAAAAGTGTAACTGTACTTTTACCTTCTAACCAAAGCTTTATTCAAATATCTTTCGTACAGCATTAAAAGTCTGTTAAAGTAGTATAATGGAAAAGAACAACATATTTTTGCCAAGCTGTTGTAATGACGATTTTTGGCACAGAACCATGAAGATAACAAAGTCATTCTAAACATGTTCAAACATTTTAAGGGAAAAGCTTCATGAAATCTTTTATCATTTATATTCAAATGCAAAAAAGTAATTACTTTAGGCTGTCATGATGAGGCATGTTTTTATATCTTTAAAACCTGTTAATAGTAATTAAATACAAATTGAGAAACTGCTAATCATTGTTGTATATCTTGGAAATTTTTGAAAGACTACTGAAAGAATTTTTAATGGTTGAGTTAATATAAATTTCAAGCACATGTATACTTGACATATTTTATATACTATTATTTATTTATTGAGTTGGAGTCTCTCTCTCTCTCTCTCTTTCGCTCTACTTATTAAGTCAAAGTCTCACTCTCAATCAGCCTGGAGTGCAGTGGCATGCTTATGGCCACTGGCAGCCTCAACCTGCTGGGCTCAGGTGATCTTTCCACCTCAGCCTTCCAAGTAAATGGAACCATAGGTATATGCCAACTTGCCTAGCTAATTTATTTTTTAAATTGTAGAAATGAGGTCTCACTAAGTTTCCCAGGCTGGTCTTGCACCCCTGGGCTCAGGCAATTCTCTCGCCTCCACCTCCCAAGGATTATGGGCATGAGCCACTGTACCTGAGGGTATTTATTTATTTATTCCTTATCTCTTATGGACTTACAAGATTGTATTCTAAGTATAAGATTAATCAGCAGTGTTCCTATACTCTGAAAACTCTCAAAGTTCCTACCTACATGTTTTTTGACCCAGATGCTAATTCATTTCTGAAATGGAATACATGGACTAGGTCTCTTAAAATAACTGGCAACCAAATCACTCTTCCAAATTCACTTCGACTGCTGCTGAACTCATGTTGGGTTTCAAAGTTTATAATATAAGTAATAGAGTATCATTATTAATTCATGAAGATAAAGCAGCTAAGTGAAATTAAACATGTGTACGAACTGAAGTCCTCAAATACATTGTAGAATTTTAATACTGGAAGAGACCGTAACATCCTAATTTCCCAGGAATTTATGTTACAATACTCCTGATAAGTGGATATTCTAACACTACTTGAATACTTATAAGGTTGGGGAGTTTACTAATTCACAAATTAGTCGGTGTCATTTTTTTTCCTTTAGATTGGAAAATATAGTTTATTTAGAAAGTAAATCAGAGGAGAGAGAGGAGATTCACTTCTAGGGAAGGGGGCCAAAGGTAAGAAACATGGCGGCCATAGCTCAGAGAACCACATGGACAAACCAGAGTTTAACAAAGCAATGGCGAATGGGAGAGAGAAAGAGAGAGAGAGAGAGAGAGAGAGAGAATGGAGATTCGCCTCCCCAAGATAAGGGAGGGGGCCAAAGCTAAGAAACATGGCCTGGCTAGTGCTTAGCAAAGCAATGGCTGTTCATGTCATTTTTAAAGAGCTAAAATCATTAAACATTCTTAACACTAAGCTAAAACTACCTTCCTCAAGCTATTTCTTCCAAAATGAGCCTTACCAAATAAATCCAATCTGTATTTTATACATTAACTTTTCAGATAATTAAAGATCATCTAATATATATCTCAACTTTTCTAGGGTTAAAGTGTTCTTAGTTCCTCTTTTTATTGTTCATAAACATATTACCCTGGATTACTGTCTTAGTTTACTGATGTGTCTATTAAATTGTGCTGTATGGAATAGAATACAATATCCATATATGCTCTAATATAGCAAACTCATAGTGGCACTGTTTTTTCCTTTGTTCTTTTCGCTAAATTATTTTCTGCATTTTTATAATGTTGCTCAAGTGGAGCTTGTAGTCAATTCAAACTCCTAAGTTTTTTTTTTTTTAACAGTTATTTTAAGCAGATACAATTGACTGCTTGAACTAATGGGAGGATTTCACATTTATTCTTATTAAATTTTCTCTTGCCAAGTTCAGACCATCTTTGAGCTAGCCTGATTCTGCTATTCAATGTGTTGGTTCTCTCTGTTTCCCAGATTTTGGTTATCCTTAAATTCAAATTCTTCTGTCTTCATTTAGGTTTTGAACAAAACTGTCAAATGGGACAGCTTAAGTAAGAGCCTTATAGCAAGTCATTATAGACTTTCCCTTGGTTTAAAAAAAAAATCTACATTTATTAAAGGTATTTATTAGGTGTTTACTATTTGTGACAATTTAATTTTCACAAGATAAGAATAATTATTATTACTCCTATTTTTACAGGTGAGGAACTGAAGCTTAAAGGAATGAAGTAACTTGCCTAAGGTCATGTAAACAGGAAGTGGCAGAGCCAGGATTCAAACCTAGGAAGGCTGGCTCCAGAACCCAAACTTTAACCACCTCCCTATACTACTTTTTGTTAAATAATTAATTTACATGTTCTGAATATGATTATACATTCAGTCATGAATATACTTACCAAACTATTATTAAGACCACATTTCTTCAACTTGTCTACAACAAGCAACTTAGTTAAATGCTTTATACAGTCTATGATTTTCCCTGATCTAGTAATCCTATTAAAACAAATTAAGTTATTTTGATGTGATTTGTTATGGTGAACTCATGGTGGCTCCTAGTGATCATGACTTCATTATCTAAGTGCTCACAAACCATCTGTTTAATAATCCTATTTTGCCAGCCATTGACATGAAGCTCATGAATGTTGGTAATTTCTAGAGTCTGTGGCTTGCTCTGTGTTCTTTTGGGAACAATCAAATGTTTGCCCATTGCTATAGACTGCACGTTTATGTTTTCCCTGAAATTCATATATTGAAATCCTAACTCCCAGTGTGATGGTATTGGGAGGCAGGGGCTTTGGGAGATGATTCTCCTTTTTAAGAGATTAGTGTCCTTAATAAAAGAGACCTCTGAGAGCTCACCTGCCCCTTCTGCTATGTAAGGTTACAGTGAGAAGATGGTCATCTGTGAGCCAGGAAGTGGTCTCTTATAAGACACTGACACTGCTGGCACCCTGATCTTGGACTTTTCAGCCTCTAGAACTGTGAGAAATAAATTTCTGTGATTTATAAGCCATCCATCTAGTCGATGGTATTTTTGTTATAGCAGCCTAAATGGACTAAGGTATTCTTCATTATTATCAACAGGGATTCCAGAGTCAATTCCAGACTTCTTCACTGCCACAAAACATCATCCATCTGGGACTGGAGACTAGAATTCATGTAAAGTAACTATTT